TCGCTCCATCTCTTTCTTCCAGGGCTGACCTCCTGGTCGCCCCCCTTTCTCGGGACATCATGATTCTCGTCATCCTGGCCTCCTGCCTGCCTGTCAGGCCTCCCTCATGACCGCTGCTGAGAGAAGATGCTATCCAGGGCAAGCAGACTCAGTTCACGCTTAGCCCACCTCTGTTGAATCTTTCATCTGCCTTAGCTTTCTGATCTGTCATGCTGAAATCATGCCACTTACCTCACAGAAGGCTCCCTCATCCTCCTTGCTTATGACAACTAGTGAAACTAGTCAATAGCTCTTCATTATTTCTAGAATGAGGTGACACTTTTCAGCCCTCCGAAGCCTCCACAGTCTGGCCCCAACCTCCTTTCTAACTCTTCCTTCTCCTGCCCCCAGGTCACCATCTCCCTCACCCCCACTCTTGGTATTCTGGTGACAGAGAATGGTTTCCATTTCCAAAAAATACCTTGTATTTTGACATTTCGGTGCATTTTCTGATGCTACTCTTCCTGCTAGGAATGCTATTCTTCCATTTGAATTGCTTGAATCCCACCTAAAATCTACTTTAAGGTCCACATCAAACACTACCTCTGCCATGACAGAGAATCCCGTTTCTCCAGGAGTAAATCCTTCTTCTAACACCTCTGTATCTCTCTGGGATCATCACCACCTCCTTGTATCACAGTTACTTGTATCAGTGTCTTTTCTCCACAATTGGACTATGCTCCTTCAGGGTAGGAACCACCATAGCTTCTCTAGATCCCTCACAACACCAGCTTTAATAAAGGTGTACTGAATGAGTAAATGACCAGGAGTATTCTAGAATAACAGTACAGTAACACCAACTCAGACAACATGGGTCACAGTTCTCTAGAAGGCACACACATCATCGCAGCCAGGGCCAAAGCTTTGGCCAAATAATCCAGCTCATTTTGAGGTTACCGGAAATTCTCCCTGCATTAGGTACTGTCAAAGCATTGGGATCTCTGAAGAAGTGGTCCCCATACTGTTAGCCAGAACCCACATCTAACAGTCTGTTAATGAGATAAACACTGTGGGCTTTAGCATACATCTCAGACCCCTGAAACACACTGCCGGCCAACAAAGCAAGAGAAATGTCTTATGCAGCTTTTTGGCAAAAGTGACCAACCATCCTGGTGATAAACAACACTTTCTCGTGTCTATCACTATACAAGAAAACCTTGATAGGAAGTCAAAAATTGCTTAATATAAATTAGCACACACCCCCCTCCATTACCAGTCATCAAATTCTGTTAATTTTACCATCTAAATGACTCAGTATCTGTGGCTTTCTCATTTCCCAGAGCACCACCCTGTTTCAGGCTTCCATCTCTCACCTGACTCAACACAATAGCTTCCTGAGGGTTCTCTCAACATCTTCCTTTTCCCCACTCAATTTTTCCTCTACACCAATGCCAGAGAGATCGTACAAAGACCACATCTGATTATGCCACGTCCCTTCTTTGATGGCTTTCCTTTGCCTGAGAGGCAAGTCTAAACTCCTCAGAGTGGACTGCCCGGTCTTTCACAACCAAATTCTAGCCTCCCTTACAGCCCAGCCCACCCTGCTTCACCTCCCAAAAACTGCCCAGGGCTCAACTCATACATCTTCCTGCTGGTCCCTCCACCTTCAGTGCTATTCCCTGCCCTGCCCTTCTATGACCATCAGTCATCCTTCAAGGTCAAGCTCAAAAGTCCCCATCTGGTAACACACGCCCCTTCCTCTACGGATATAACCATAGAATTAAGACTAGAAAATATGATGCCTACATCAGAGGCAATTTCTTTAAAGAATTAATGTTATCTCACAATCATAATGTTTTGAAGAAACAGCCATTTATGTCTTCTCTTAAAGTTCTCACAAAATTTTCAACCCTTAGGAATGAGTGCTGGCTAATTTGGCCTACCACTTGTTCACATAAAATGGGAAGACTGTGCCTTCTGAGAAACTCATGCTATTTGTACGTTTAACTTTTTTTTTGTTGTTTAATTTCAGAAACACCTTGGCAAAAGCCCACAGAGTGAAGGGTTTCTCTGAATACACTCATTTAGAAACATGGCATTTACCAGTTTAGGAAAATATTAGCTATGCCAACTCAGAAATCTCTAAGCCCCTTCACTTTGTAACAAGATGCACCACCAACAAAAGCTTTACTCTGTCAAATTCATGTCTATCCCTGTGCAGCAGTACCTCAAAGCAGCTTTCTCATGTTGGCACATATGTACAAAGGGGACGTGGCATTCTAGGGCTGAAGAAGCAACCTGGTTTAGTGAAAAAAAAAATGACTCAACGGGCAACTTGGATTCGAACTCAAATTTTATCGCTGTCCGCTTGAATAACTTTGGCCCAGGAATGGTAGATGAGGTAGATGAAGCATTTTTAAATCACAAAAGAAAGGAAATCTGTATGTAACGCTAGGGTTTGGTCACTGTTACTGTTATAACAAGAATAGGAAACGGCAGACCTGAGTTTACATTAAGTAAACTGCAGTTTCCTCTGTGTACTCTGTGTGTTATAACTGAGTTTCCACGAGTAAGAACAGGCGACTGCTATTGAAAAGAAGGTGAGGGCAGGAAAAATGAAAATACCACGTCTGTCTCTCGGACGCCGTGAGCTCAGTGTGCCAGCAGAGGTACAGATAGATCAAGTGCTTATGACACAGAAGAATGAAATAATCTACCAGATGGTTTTTATTCCTAATAAACGATGGTAAAAAGTGGACGCAATTAGTGTCAAATAGCCCATTTGGTGGAGTGCTATGTAAGTATCAGCCTTGAGAGTTGATGAGTTCAGCTGGTGTCATCCTGCAGGAGGGCGAGCACAGAGTGGCTAAGTTCATATTTATTACTAAGGAAGAAAGATTCTTAATAGTCAGCTTTCCTGACTTGAAGCTTCGGTAGGAAAAGTCTACATCGACAGGGCCATAATTCCAATATTTATTTATCTATCATCTTTCCTCTCAGAAGCACACACACTTCAGAGCTGTTAATGCATCCATATTTTGACATTCATGCAAGAAGTAAAAAAACCTTAGTGTTCTTTTTTTACAATCTGAAAATGAAGGTTTAAAGAGAATAATGAGTGCATGACCATAAGCAGAGCTGCAAACTTTCTACCACTAAATTTCCATTTCGTGTTACGTCTTTCCAATTATCAGTACCAAGTTCAGATGTCTATTACTATATATTTGGAGGATATTATATTCTCATTAGCTGTAACTATAATATTCTGGAAGAAACTAATAAGGCAAAACACAGGGACCTTTTTAATAAGCATGAAGCTGTTTGTGGGCTAAGGCTGATGATTTCTAACCATGGTGAAGTGGTACTCCACTGTTGGTTTGATTTTAAGATCTTGCCCCACCCTCCAGTTGTCACTGATCCACTGAATTGAATGTGCAGTCCCCTGTAAACCACGTCATCTATTTTAAGGATCACTAGGAAAGAAAAATGCTCCCAATTAAACTAGGACATGTTTAGGGGCAGGGTACAGCTCAGTGGTAGACTGCATGCTTAGCATACATGAGCTCCTGGGTTCAACCTCCAGTACCTCCACTAAAAAAAAAAACTGGGACAAGTTTCCATATCATCAACTGTTAAGACTCATCCTGACTTCAGAGATGCTAAAATGTGGGGGGAACGTGCATCTTGCCATCAATAAAATATAGCATATGAAAATTGCTGTTCTTCTAATTAAAATGGATCAAAAGGAATATTGTTTGAGAAACATAAGACATAAACTAGGATATTCAATATTCTAAAGATACAGCAGAGGTTAGGAATCAGTCTTCAATACAGTCAACTTTCAGGGTGTTTTTAACAACTCAAACAAGTCCCTTAACTTTTCAGTAGTTCCTATAAACTTTTCATTAGTACCTCTTGAGGTGAAGGTTCCTGAGACCTCCACGTGCACTTAAAGCCAATGGTCACCTCTGAAAAAACTGCAATCACAAGGCTTTGAAACTGCCTAATTATTCTCCCCCTTGAGACACCAATTGTAATGATTCGATGCTCACCGTTAGAGATGTTACGTTATTAAACTAAATGGCTTGCCATCCTTGTATCTCACCCTCCTCTCCTGCTCAGTAAACCCCTGACATTTGTATTGATGGCCCTGGAGCAGAAAAAGCAGGAAGTAATTTTTTCTCCCCTGGAAAGGGTTGAAAATAAAATCCCAAGGAAAAATTAAAGCTAAAGAAAGACATGTTCATAAGCACTGAGGAATTTTCCCCTTCGTGAGCAATCCTGGATAGTTCAGCACTGAGAGTGAAGCCTTACAAACAACAACAGAAAGTCAACAGACAGCAACGTACAGCAGGAGAAAGTGGTCCCATTGTCTCCCCAGCGTGACGGCAGCAGTCTCGATTCTAAGGCTTAATCTGAATAACTGCTTTCAGGAGAACTGAGCAGAGCGTCCCTTTCCTCCAGTTCAACTACATGCAAACAACATGACTGTTGTTGGAACACAAAAGTTCATAAGACGCTGGGAAAACTCCCTTCTGACTCCCTGACTCCGCAGGAGCATCTATAATCTGTTCTTCGGCTCTTACCTATTTCTTGTGACTTGGGATACATTCGTTTGGTAACCAGATCCACCTCCTGTTCGACACACAAAAGTACACTGGAATGTCTTTTCAAAACTCATATTCCGAAAACTGTCTAATGGGATGAAACCCCCCAAGTCAAACCGAAAGCCACCAAAGAGACATGCATTCACATTTGCTCCCATGTGTTCTTACATTTCTGTATGATTTACTTCTGTGAAGAGTTCTCTCATAAATCCAGGGTCATAAACCACTGGCTTAGAAAGCTAGAGTAGCTGTCTTTTTTTTTTTTTTTTACAAAGAAGCATACTTTGGGAAGGAAAAAAAAAATCTCCAAACCTAAAGAATTTAAAATAAAATGTTATTTTCTTCAAACATATAACCAGGCAGAAACACCGTCCATCCCTTCAAAACTGAATCCCCAAGAGGAAAAGGGCTTACGTGTTCGGATTTCTCCTGTTCTTTTTTGTCCGTCTGCAAACACTGACAGTTTTCTCTTGCCAGCTTCTGGACCAGTTCAATTCGCCCGATATCATCTTTCTCCTGAAGCTTGCACATCACCCCTGCCTTGAGAGTTGGAGAAAAAGCGAAGATATACTTAAATCCACAGTCCCAGGACATGACACCACCGCACAAGTTCACCTTTATAATAAGCTCATCTTCTCTGCCACCTGGATTAAATCATGTCTTGGTAAAATATTTTGCCTTTCCCAAACCAAAATTATATTAGCTTAACCTCGGAGAACGCCACACTGAAAGGCTTAAAGTGGAGATCATTTATCAGTCTACTTTAAGAGAGTGAAAGGCAGAGCCAACTACATCATTTGCTACTAAAGGGTGCTCCTGATCTGCCACTATTTGTTCCTGACAGCCTGTTTCCTGTTACATAAACCCAGCAAGAGGTTAAAAACTCATGGGAAAGTTAGCCAGGAACTACTCCAGCAACAAGGGTGAACTGATACAGAGTACTAAAAATAACAGTACACGGCCTCCTAATTCTTGAGCTCCACCAGCTCATTCCATGTACAAACACACAGTTAACAAGAAGATCGTAAGATCATTTTTTCTTTTACAACTGGAAAGTTACTATGGGGCATTATTAGCAAAATACCTCCAATGTTGCATGAAATATGGTAGAAAAGGTTATTAAAAATAAACTGCAAAAACTTAAAATTTCATCAGGGTTTAGAAATGGTTCATAAAGCATCCTATGTTTTGTTAACCCCAAAGTACCAAACAAAAATAATATGGAGGGGAATCTAGGACTTTGATCAGAAAAAAAATACATACATATA